GACGAGTGGCCAGAGGCAGTAAGTTCCTAATAGTGTGGAGGGCAAGTTGGATGACTAGAGAAATTGAGGCTTTGGTCAGGAAAAGGAAGACAGCAGGGATCAAGCGAATCCCTTGAGGAGTATAATGGCAGTAGGAGTATACTCAAGAGGGAAATCAGGAGGGAAGAAAGGGGACTTGAGATAGCTTTAGCAAATAGGGTTAAGGAGAATCCAAAGAGCTTCTACGAATACATTAAAGGCCCCTTAAAGATTAGCAAGGCTGCCTATGTGTGGAACTGCAGAAACCGGGTCTGATACTAAATAAGTATTTCACACCAGTATTTTCTGTGAAGAAGAGCATTTGGAGAAATAAATCGCAATATCTTGAAAAGTGTCCGTATTAAAGAGGAGGAGGTGCTGGATGTCTTAAAATGCATAAAGGTGGATAAATATCTGGGACTTGATCAGCTGTATCCCAGAACTTTGTGGGAAGCTAGGGAAGTAATTACTAGGCCCTTTGCTGAGATATTTTTATCATCGATAGCCATGGGTGAGGTGCCCGAAGGCTGAAGCTTGGCTAACGTGGTGCCATTATTTAAGCAAGGCAGTAAGGAAAATCCAGGGAACTATAAACCAATGAGCCTGATGTGAGTGGTGGGTAACCTGTTGGAGGGGATTCTGAGGAACAGGATTTACATATATTTGGAAAGGCAAGGACTGATTAAGGATAGTCAACATGGCTTTGTGCGTGGGAAATCATGCCTCACTAACTTGATTGAGGTTTTTGAAGAAGTGGCATGGTGCCTCAGTGGTTAGCATTGCTGCCTCACAGTGCCAGGGACGAGGGTTTGATACCAACCTCAGGCAACTGTCTGTGTGGAGGTTGCACATTTTCCTCATGTCTGCATGGGTTTCCTCCCACGGTCCAAAGATGTGCAGGTTAGTTGGAATGGTCATGCTAAATTGCCTGTAGTGTTCAGAGATGTGTAAGTTACCTGCATTAGCCACGGGAAATGCACGGTTACAGGGATAGGGTAGGGAGATGGGATGATCTTCGGAGGGTCAATTATTGGGCCAAATGGCCTGTTTCCACACTGTGGGCATTCTATGATTCTATGACAAAGAAGATTGATGAAGGCAGAGACGTGGATGTTGTCGATATGGACTTTGACAAGTTTCTGCATGGCAGACCGGTTAGCAAGGTTATATCATGTTATATCAGGGAGAGCAAGCTATTTGGCTACGAAATTGGCTTAATGGTAGGAGACAGAGGGTAATGGTGGAGGGTTGTTTTTCAGACTGGAGACCTGTGACCAGCAGTGTGCCACAAGGATCAGTGCTGGGTCGACTGTTTTTTGTCATTTATAAAAATGATTTGCATTTGCATATAGGGGAAATGGTTAGTAAGTTTGCAGATGACACCAAAATTGGTGGTCTAGTGGATAGTGAAGAAAGTTGTCTCAGAATACAACAGGATCAGATGGGCCAATAGGCTGAGGAATGGCAGATGGAGTTTAACTTAGATAAATGTGAGGCATTGCATTTTGGTAAGGCAAATCAGTGCACGACTTATACACTTAATGGTCGGGTCCTGGGAAGTGTTGCCAAACATAGAGAACTTTTGGTGCAAGTTCACAGTTCTTTGAAGGTGGGTTCACAGGTAGACAGGGTAGTGAAGAAGGCGTTTAATACACTTGCCTTTATTGGTCAGTGCATTGAGTATAGGAGTTGGGAGGTCATATTGCGGCTGTACAGGACATTGGTTGAGCCACTTTTAGAATACTGCTTTCAATACTGATCTCCCTGATATCGAAAAGATGTTAAACTTGAAATTGTGCAGAAAAGATTTACAAGGATGTTGCCGGGCTTAGAGGGTTTGAGCCACACGGAGAGGCTGAATAGGCTGAGATTTTCCTTGGAACATCAGAAGTTGAGGGGTAACCTTATAGAAGTTTATAAAATCATGAGGGAAATGGATAGAGTAAGTTACCAAAGCTTTTTTCCCAGGGTACGTTAGTCCAAAACTAGAGGGCATAGGTTTAATGTGAGGGGGAAAGATTTAAAAAAGACCTAAGCGGCATCTTTTCCATGCAGGTGGTGGTGTGTGTATGGAATGAGCTGCCACAGGAGGTGGTGGAGGCTGGTACAATTACAGCATTTAAAAGGCATCTGGATGGATACATGAATAAGAAGGTTTTATAGAGATATGGGCCAAATGCAGGCAAATGAGACTAGATTAATTTAGGATATCTGGTCAACCTGGATGAGTTGGACCGAGAGGGTCTGTTTCCGTGCTGTACAATTCTATGACTCTATGTGTCCCTTACTTTGTGTCATTGTAAATTTCAATCTGATCCTTCTTTAAGAGCAAGGACATTGCAACTGTTATGACGATAGACGATAATCTGTTATTTACTAAATGTAAGGAACAGGGTATTCTAGCCTTCCAGTTTCTAACTTTTAATTTTTAATTAATTATTTTGGAAAAAAAAGCCCAGTTTAGGGCAGCATGGTGGCTTAGTGGTTAGCACTGCTTCCTCACAGTGCAGGGACCCACGTTCTGTTCCAGCCTTGGTCAACTGTATATGTGGAGATTGCACATTCTCCCCTTGTCTGCATGAGTTTGCTCTGGGTGCTCCGGTTTCCTCCCATAGTACAAAGATGTGCAGGTTAGGTGGATTGGCCATGCTAAATTGCCCAGTGTCCAGGCTTGTGTAGCCTAGGTAGGTTAGCCTTGGGAAATGCAGAATGATAGGGTACATAAGAACATAAGAACGAGGAGCAGGAGTAGGCCATCTGGCCCCCCTCGCCATTTAATAAGATCATGGCTGATCTTTTTGACTCAGCTCCACTTACCCGCCCACTCACCATAACCCTTTATTCCTTTACTGTTCAAAAACTTATGTAGCCTTGCCTTAAAAACATTCAGCGAGGTAGCTTCAACCACTTCACTGGGTAGGGAATTCCACAGATTCACAACCCTTTGGTGAAGAAGTTCCTCCTGACCTCAGTCCTACATCTGCTTCCCTTTATTTTGAGGCGATGCCCTCTAGCCCTAGTTTCACCTGCTAGCGGAAACAACCTCCCTGCCTCCACCTTATCTATTCCCTTCATAATCTTATATCTTTCTATAAGATCTCCCCTCATTCTTCTGAATTCCAATGAGTATAATCCCAGTCTACTCAGTCTGTCCTCACAATCCAACCCTCTCAACTCTGGAATCAACCGAGTGAATCTCCTCTGCACCCCCTCCAGTGCTAGTATATCTCTTGTCAAGTAAGGAGACCAAAACTGCACACAGTACTCCAGGTGTGGCCTCACCAGGACCCTATACAGCTGCAGCATAGCCTCCCTGCTTTTAAACTCCATCCGTCGAGCAATGGCAGACAAAATTCCATTTGCCTTTTTGGTTACCTGCTGCACCTGCAATCCTACTTTTAGCGATTCATGCACAAGGACACCCAAATCCCTCTGCACAGCAGCGTGCTGCAATTTTTTTACCATTTAAGACCTAGTCCATTTTGCTGTTATTCTTACCAAAATGGATGACCTCACACTTATCAACATTGTACTCCGTCTGCCAGACTTTTGCCCACTCACTTAGACTATCTATATCCCGCTGCAGACTTTCAGTGTCTTCTGCACACTTTGCTCTACCACTCACCTTAGTGTCATCTGCAAATTTTGACACACTACACTTAGTCCCCAACTCCAAATCATCTATGTAAATTGTAAACAATTGCGGTCCCAACACTGATCCCTGAGGCACACCACTAGCCACTGACCGCCAACCAGAAAAACACCCATTTACCCCTACTCTTTGCTTTCTACTGGTGAACCAATCCTCTATTCATGCCAATACATTACCTGTAATACCGTGCAACTTTATCTTATGTAGTAGCCTTTGGTGTGGCACCTTGTCAAATGCCTTCTGGAAATCCAGATACTCCACATCCACAGGTTCCCCATTGTCCACCATGCAAGTAATGTCCTCAAAGAATTCCACCAAATTAGTTAAACGTGACTTACTGCTGGGTGTTCCCAATGGGACAATTTATATCCAGATGTCTTGCTATTTCTTCCTTAATGATAGATTCAAGCATTTTCCCCACTACCGAAGTTAAGCTAACTGGCCTATAGTTACCTGCTTAGAGGAGTTAGGAGTAGGGGAGTTGTTCTGGGTGGATGCTCTTCAGAGGCTCGGTGTGGACTCGATGGGCCGAATGGCCTGCTTCCATACTGTAGGGATTCTATGATTCTTGATGGGGGGTAATGTCATGGAATTTAGAGTCATAAAGTTTTTTACAGCACAGAAAGAGGCCCTTCGCCCCATTGTGTCTGTGCCGGTCATCAAATATTCATCTATTCTCATTCCATTTTCCAGCATTTGGCCCATAATTGGACCATTGTATGCTATGACATTTCAAGCACTCATCTAAACGTCTTGAATATTCCTGCCTCTATCATCCTGTTGGGCAGTGAGTTCCAAATAAGCACAACTCTCTGCGTGAAAATAGTTTTCCTCTCATCCCCTTTAAACTTTGTGCCTCTTACCTGAAAATTCTGCCTCCTCATATGGACCACTATACTAAAGGGCAATGTTTTTCTCTATGTATACTACCTATGTCCCTCAGAATATGCTATATACAGATCTGTACTCATTGAATCTGATGGTGGAAGGTGAGGAATTATAGGTGAAGAATTTTGCTTTTGTCTGAATCCTTTGATGTCTAGTGCTGTTTTGTTGCTTGGTTTTCCAACTGTTTTCCACCAAGATATTGGAGTCTTTTGTGAATAGCCACTGGTGGTACCTTGGTGTGAGTATGCCTCGAAAAGGGTGTTTTACTTGATGAAGCACTACTTACGTTATCTCCGGTAAGATAAGACATTGTGACTGGATATTGTAGAGTGAAGAATCTTACACATGTTTATTACAACTAACTATTATGTGGAAACATTACATTCCTTGGGCACATAAATGTCTGGGCTAATACTGAGCTGTTAGTTTACCGCAGAAGAGCATGCTTCCTGTTGAGTCATATGCTTCAAGTGATCTGAGGTAAGATAGAGTATGAGATCTTTATATTTTCAGGTCACATGTACTGATTGATGATGATATCATGAGCGTGCCTCTTAAAGGCACACTGACTACGAGGCATAACATGCTGATTTTGTCTCCATTTTTCAATTCAGTATGAAGTGGCCAGGCAGTAGCATGGAGCACAAATCAGCTGTAATTTGTGCACAGACCTCAGATACGTTCATGCTGGCCTTCCTGTTTCATCAATTGAAACAAGAAGCCCAGCTAATCAGCTTGAAGATACAGAATGGGAGTTAGTGTGTCCTTTTTAACAAAATGCACAGTAATTCTTCAAACGTAGTTCATGTAATGACTAAAGTTACCAGTATCATATATTTTTATATGTATCTTTGCTTAGGCAAGGTGATATCACCTTACAAGTTTGCCAGTCAATATCAAGTAGATGATCCATCAGAAGCATGTCATCCTTTGAATGTAACAAAGTTGGAAGAAACTAATGTTGATTATGTAAGTATATTTGTTCAAAGTTGGCACTCAGATTGGTGTTTCACAGAAGCATCTCTGTTCAGTACTAAATGAAGAGAGTTACTGTACAGTCGCCATTTTTAAAATGTCAATTATGCCTCAGAAGAAGCATCAGGAATCCTGGTTTGGTGGAGATCTGATTTTGAAGGACTTTTCTCCATTTTCTTCCACCCTGTGCTTGGGTAAAGTTGATTCCTTGAACACAGGAAATGCCAATATATGTGAAATACTCACTTTAGTGAATATCTAAGTCATTTTTTTTTCCAATTTTCTTCAAGCTCAGAAAAGCTTTCCATGTTATATGTTTTCACTGAGAAACTGACCTGTTGATTTCTGTTCTAGGTGTCTGATTGCTCTTGTATGCTGAATAAAGTGGCACCTCTCTGTAAATTGCCAAAGAGAAATTACATTACGGAATGTCAACGTGATTTGTACAAGTGCACCGCCAAAGGTGATACACAGTGCAGCTGTCAGACTTTGTCTGAATATTCCCGACAATGTTCAAGGTTGTTGGAACCAGTCACTAACTGGAGAAATATCTCTTTCTGCCGTAAGTAGCATGACCTATCTTACTACCTGAACTTTGTGATAATATGTTTATAAGATACTATATTACCTGTTTCAATTTGATGCATTTTGTTTGATTGTATATGTAAGAACTTGCTGTTACATATGCATTCACCATTTGTTATGTTCTATCTGTATTCCAGCTTACACCGTCCCATTCATTCATTACTGCTGTACTTGTTGACTGGGACTGGCTATGTGTGCTGCTCACCATGTGATCTCCTCTACATGGGGAGATGAAAATCAGACTGGGTAACTGCTTTGTGGAATGCCTACGTTCTGTCCACAAAAATTACCTGAGTTTCCAGTTGCCTGCCACCTGCATCTTCCTATGCCAACATTTCTCTTTTGGGCCTGCTGCAGTGCTCCAACAAGGCTCAATGCAAGCTGGAAGTACGGCATCTCATTTTCTACTTTTGGGGATCCTACAACCTTCAGGACTCGATATCGAGTTCAACAATTTTACAGTGTGAGCGCATCCTTTTTTGTCCTTTACCCACTCACATATACCAAACTATTCATAACACCTTATTTTCGTCAAGTAATTGTCCCTAATACAGCCTTTCCTTCTCTCTAGCTCACCATTTTCCATCCCTTTTGTCTGCCTAACTGTTGTTCTGTCTTTCTGGGCTCTACCTCCATCTATCGTGTACTCCGTCTCCTCCCTGCACCCTGCCCACTTCCTGTCTTCACCGTATATACCACATTTTCTCAGTGAACATCAATTCTGAAGAAGTGTCACTGGACCAGAAATATTAACTCTGCTTTCTCTCCTCAGATGCTGCCAAACTTGCCAAGTTTTTCCATCAATTTCTGTTTTTGTTTTAGATTTCTAACATCCTCGGTTCTTGTTTTTTTTCTCATTTCTATTTTCCTTTTCCTATCTTTCCATTTCTCTTTTATTTCTCCTGTAATTTCATTTCCACTCTTTCTCTTTTACTTCTAGTTCAAATTTTTGATTTTAAACTGAATTTTAACTGATATTATTGTATACATCAATTTCAGATTTTCCTCCTTTTAATTCAAAATTATGGGTTATTACTTTAAGCATCTCACCCTTGCGAGAACCTTTTGTTTATATTTTCAAGTTAACTGCCAACTCTTATTCCCCACCACCTGAATGGTGGTGGAAATAACTTTTTTAAAAAGCAATCTAAATATATACAACCTTTGGAATGATTGCATTTTACACAGCAAAACAATATTTCACCTTTTTTTCCTGACACTCTCTGTTACAGAGATTCACGTCTGGAGAACGCATTCCCCTATCTCAAACCTGCTTAACTGACTTCCGAAAGTTTTCTTGTCCTGGACTGTCAATCACTCTGCCAACATGAACTTTTCATAAATCTGAGATTTTAAAATCTCCCAGTTTAGTAACCTGCTGATTTCTAACTAAATTCTCTTCGCTTAAAAGTTTCATAAGCTAAATCCATCAGCTGAGATAACTTGTTCCCTGAATTGTCCTGAACTTATTGACCTTGCATGTGTACTGTACCTTTCTTAGGCACAAAACATCTTACCATTAACACCGCAGGAGCTCACTGTCACCTGCTCTCAAAAAAAATCTTGGATTTAAGTCACTGTTCCAGAAATACACTCTGACCTTTTTTTAAACAAACCTTAGCAGAGTTAACCTGCACCAATTGAATCTATTTTGAAATCTCCATACTCCAAAAATGATATTAACAGATATAAATTATATGCCTTTTCTCAAAGAGAGCCCCTGTACTTGTCAAGAAAATTGCTTATTGTACGTTGCTAATGTGTGGAGCAACTTGGTCTAGCTCTACAGGCAATTATTGCTGCAGTGTGATTGCAGAGCACCTCAATAATTCCCTCAAATTGGGGCGGTAGAAGGAAACATTCTGTTTTTATATTATGATATAAACTGTATTATGTGGTTGCATATTTAGGTGATGATGCATTTTTAGGTGTTTAACCAACTTGTAATCTTCTCAGCTGTGTGCTGTCAAGCTCTGCCCTTGCATTTCTAAACAGTTAATTCTCTATTCCTAAAGCCTAAATTTGAGATTCCTTATCACTTGCACTAATGCTAAAATTTTAAAAGAAAGGAAACTGGGCTGAAGACAGGCAGCGTTTTGATGCATTCTACAAAGTGTTAGAACCCTTGCTGATTTTTCACTATTTTTATTTTTTTCTTTTATAAATTTGGTTTGGAGTTGTGAGCTGGGAATTGTTGTCTAAAGATGCCTTTGGACTTTAGGAAACAACTTGTGGTAAAAGGAATAAAACAGACTGAACAAACTTTTGATTTTTGTGAGACTGAGCTTGGAGGTTAATTTCCAGACTGATTCTTAAGGGTTCGAACAGACACAGCAAACCTGGGAAGAGCATTGTGTTTAAGCAGATAGCAGAAGTTGGCTATTAATAGGGTCAGTACCTAGGAATGGGTTCTGGAAAGTCTGGGAGAGACCCTATATTCAAGCAGATGGCAGATTTTGAATGGTAATTGAGGCCTGGGAGTAGATGGTCAGTCTATCAGGAACGGACCAGAATTGAAGTTGATTTTTGAACTATGTTTTCATGAGAGAAGGATTTTGGCTGCCTCTGACATAGCCTGAAGATTTTGAAAGCTCCCTTACTAACGTTTGGAAGCCCAGAGAGTAGAAAGCTGAGTTAGAGGTATTATTACATGTATCTGCGTGAACTGTAATGGTGACCCTGATTAGTAGTTCCAGAAAAACAACCAAGGGGTCCACATTGTTGCCTGTGAAACAATGCGTCATGAAAGCCATTTACATAAGGTTGTAGACTTACCTCGCCGAGCTGGTGTGTTTGATTGCAGACGTTTTGTCACCCTGCTAGATAACGTTGTCAGTGCGCTTCTGGTGAAGCATTGGTGTTTTGTCCTGCTTGCTATTTATATGCCTCGGTTTGCGGGGGTGGTTAGCATCACTTCTGGTTCTGGTTTTCAGTGGTTTGTATAACAGGTCCAGTTCAATGTGTTTGTTAATGGAGTTCTGGTTGGAATGCCAGGCCTCCAAGAAATCCCTGACATGTCTCTGTTTGGCTTGTCCTATTATGGATGTGTTGTCCCAGTCGAATTTGTGCCCTTCTTTGTCCATGTGTATTGAAAACAGTGAGAATTGGTCGTGTCTCTTGGTGGCTGGCTGGTGTTCATGTATCCTTATTGTCAGTTTTCTTCCCGTTTGGCCTATGTAATGTTTCTCATTAGGCACTACTAGCAGATACCAACACCGACCATCGGATGGCGATAGACCCAAACCACAGCCAGAGAACCGGATCAAAACAACCCTGAAGAAATTACATAACTCAGGAGATATCAGTAGGACAAACTATCAAAAAATGAAGCCAGAGGGATCCAACACATCCTGCTTCTGTGGACCTCCTAAGGTACACAAGCCAGGGGTCCCGCTCAGACCCATTGTCTCACTACCAGGCGCACCAACATATAGACTAGCCAAAGAACTACAATGGGAACTGAAATACTTAGTTGACAACACTACTCATTCCATCCACTCCTCCCAAAAATTCCTCAACATTATCAAGGACACCAAAATAGAAGAGGACGAGATAATGATATCCTTCAACATAACAGCACTATTTACATCCAGAAACATCGACCTAGCCAAAGAAACAATTACCGCACTAGACGAATCAGGAAGGCAGACATCCCATGACACCAACAACACCAACAAAGACAGCACCCTGAAACTGCTGGATCTGTTCCTTACAACCCACTTCACCTTCAACAACCATATATTCAAGCAAATAAAGGAACACCAATGGGATCCCCAATATCAGGACTGACTGCAGAAGCGGGAATGCAAAGATTAAAATGGACAGCGCTCCCCATTATACAACCCAAATGCTATGTAGATGACACCTTCGTGATTAACAAACACAAATGACTAGACCAACACATAAACAACCTGGTCACCGGAATAAAATTCGCAAAAGAAGAAGAGAACAATAACCGACTACCTTTCCTAGACATAATGGTAGAACTCCAGACTAGCGTACACAGAAAGACCACACATATGGGTCAAATAGTTAATTACTCCAGCAACCACCCCAACACACAAGAACGGAGCTGCACCAGGACATTATTCAAATGAGCCACAACACGCTGCAGCAACCTGGAATTCTGCAAAGCAAAACAGGAGCACTTGTATGGAGTTTTTAAAAGGAATGGATACCCAAAAAGAACAAGCCATCTTGACCTCCACAACAGACCACAACAAGAAGACACAACACGGCCAGACACACTAGTCACCATACCGTACATCAGAGATTTATCAGAGATGACCACCAAGACTACTCAGATCCCTAGCTAACAGGGTAGCCCACATGCCAACAACCACCCTGCGACAGCTACTGACGAACGTCAAGGATCCTATACCCACAACCATGCAAGGACTGTGAGAAACATTACATAGGCCAAACAGGAAGAAAAGTAATGGGTTCTGTGAAGGAAAATCCGAAAGCCTTTTATTCATACATAAGGAGCAAGAGGGTAACTAGAGAAAGGGTTGGCCCACTAAAGGGCAAAGGAGGGAAGTTATGCGAGGAGTCAGAGAAAATGAGTGAGATTCTTAATGAGTACTTTGCGTCGGTATTCACTGAGGAGAGGGACATGACAGATGTTGAGGTTAGGGATAGATGTTTGATTACTCTAGGTCAAGTCAGCATAAGGAGGAGGGAAGTGTTGGGTATTCGAAAAGGCATTAGGGTGGACAAGTCCCCAGATCCGGATGGGATCTATCCCAGGTTACTGAGGGAAGCAAGAGAGGAAATAGCTGGGGCCTTAACAGATATCTTTGCAGCATCCTTGAGCACAGGTTAGGTCCCGGAGGACTGGAGAATTGCTAATGTTGTCCCCTTGTTTAAGAAGGGTAGCAAGGATAATCCTGGAAATTATAGACCCGTGAGCCTGACGTCAGTGGTGGGGAAGCTGCTAGAGAAGATACTAAGGAATAGGATCTATTTACATTTGGAAGAAAATGGGCTTATTAGTGATAGGCAGCACGGTTTTGTGCAGGGAAGGTCATGTCTTACCAACTTGATAGAATTCTTTGAGGAAGTGACAAAGTTGATAGATGAGGGAAGGGCTGTGGATGTCATATACGCGGACTTCAGTAAGGTGTTTGATAAGGTTCCCCATGGTAGGCTGATGGAGAAAGTGAACTCGCATGGGGTCCAGGGTGTACTAGCTAGATGGATAGAGAACTGGCTGGGCAACAGGAGACAGAGAGTTGTACTGGGAGTTTCTCAAAGTGAAGAACTGTGACCAGTGGTGTTCCACAGGGATCCGTGTTGGGACCACTGTTGTTTGTGATATACATAAATGATCTGGAGGAAGATATAGATGGTCTGATTAGCAAGTTTGCAGATGACACTAAGATTGGTGGAGTAGCAGATAGTGAAGGGGACTGTCGGAGAATGCCGCAGAATATAGATAGATTGGAGAGTTGGGCGGAGAAATGGCAGATGGAGTTCAATCCAGGCAAATGCGAGGTGATGCATTTTGGAAGATCCAATTCAAGAGCGAACTATACGGTAAATGGAAAAGCCCTGGGGAAAATTGATGCACAGAGAGATCTGGGTGTTCAGGTCCATTGTACCCTGAAGGTGGCAACGCAGGTCAATAGAGTGGTCAAGAAGGCATACGGCATGCTTTCATTCATCGGATGGGGTATTGAGTACAAGAGTTGGCAGGTCATGTTACAGTTGTATAGGACTTTGGTTCGACCACATTTGGAATACTGCGTACAGTTCTGGTCGCCACATTACCAAAAGGATGTGGATGCTTTGGAGAGGGTGCAGAGGAGGTTCACCAGGATGTTGCCTGGTATGGAGGACACTAGCTATGAAGAGAGGTTGAGTAGATTAGGATTATTTACATTAGAAAGACGGAGGTTGAGGGGGGACCTGATTGAGGTCTACAAAATCATGAGAGGTATAGACAGGGTGGATAGCAAGAAGCTTTTTCCCAGAGTGGGGGACTCAATTACTAGGGGTCACGATTTCAAGGTGAGAGGGGAAATGTTTAAGGGAGATATGCGTAGAAAGTTCTTTACGCAGAGGGTGGTGGGTGCCTGGAATGTGTTGCCAGCGGAGGTGGTAGAAGCGGGCACGATAGCATCATTTAAGATGTATCTAGACAGATACATGAATGGGCAGGGAGCAGAGGGATACAGATCCTTGGAAAATAGGCAATAGGTTTAGACAGAGGATCTGGATCGGTGCAGGCTTGGAGGGCCGAAGGGCCTGTTCCTGTGCTGTAATTTTCTTCATTCTTTGTTCTTTGTTCTAAAACTGATGATAAGGATACACAAACACAAACTAGCCATCACAGATACGACGAATTCTCACTGGTCTCAATACATACGGACAAAGAAGGACACAAGTTTGACTGGGACAACACGTCCATAATAGCATAAGCCAAACAGAGACGTGCCAGGGAATTCCTGGAGGCCTGACATTCCAACTGGAACACCACCAACAAACACACTGAACTTGACCCCGATATATAAACCACTAAAAACAGCACCGGAAGTAATGCCAACCATCCCAGCAGACTGAGGCATATAAATAACAAGCGGGACAGAACACCAATGCTTCACCGGAGGCGCACTGACAATGTTAACTAGCAGGGTGACGAAACGTCTGCAACCAAACACATTGGCTCGGCGAGTAAGTCTACAACCTCATCCTCAACCCGAGCTACAAATCTTCTCAAAAACTTTAAACCATTTAAATAATCTGAGTTTTGTTATTTTCTTTTATTTATCCCTTAATTGTTTTTACATATCTGTCTTTTGTGTGAATGGGGCTGAAAACAAATGTTTTGAGTTTAAAGCATTGACATTAATTAGAATACCTTGTTCTTTAAATTTTCCTCTTGTATATTTAATAAATTGTTATGTCTTCTGCTTAAGATAAAAAAAAGTGTTTGGAATGAATTATTTGGAAAATTTGGGATTAGTGAATCAAAAGGCTAGTTCAGAACCATTGAAGGTTTTAATTCTACTGTGTTAGGAATAGAGAGGTAGAAAGGCTGATTTGTTCAGCTGTCTGTCCCCTCGTCACAACACCATGGATGTTTGTATGAGAATGCACCTGGGGGACCATGGTGAAATTAATAGTAGAAGTCTAGAGGGAGAATAGGGAATTAGCATCCCAGTGTCAAGTGGAGGCATGGGACGTAGAAAGCGAGAGTAATGAAGATGCAGTAGGAAATGAACCTATCAGAAATTGGGGAGACTTTGAAATGATCAGAGGTAGCTTTATCAGTGATTGAAGTTGCTGAGATAATGAGAAATGCTGAAGGAGTACATTTAACAATTCATAACTGAATCCTCTGTTTTCTTTCAGCACCTATACCGTGTCCGGGAAATCAGGTATACCAGGAATGTGGTTCTCCATGCTTATCTACTTGTTCAAATCCACAGACCACCTGTGATAGCTACGGCACATATGGTTGTTTCTGTCCAGAAGGTGAATATACTGAAACTAAAAACAGCTTAAATTGCTGGAATATATTGTCATGTAGAAGTGAAGAAAATAATGTTTGTGCTATTGAGAACAAAACAACAGTCCTATATAAAAAAAAGGTCTTTTCCCAATAATAGATTTTTAAAATCTCCATTCTGCTCAGCAAGTACTCGATACATTCTTTATACAGTGTGTTATCATTGGTTCAAAGACATTATGTCTTGCCTCAATAAACCTTATTATTTTTGGGTGAATTTTAATGTGTAGCAGGATGGTCATTGATAAATGATCCTTCAGCAGTCCTAGTTGCGGAGACATCTCAAATGTTAACCTCATCTTATCAGTGAAGTAGCCATAGTACCTTAACTTGAGGCACTTAGCAAGTTTTAGATATTTTTAATCAACCTGTTTGGATGTGTTATGACTTCTCTGGAGCTAGTGGGACTTGAAACTATGCCTTCTGACTCAGACATAGGGACATTACTACTGTGCCACAAGAACAATGCCTTTTCAAGTTTTAAATTTGGTTCTTGGAGCAATGGGCTCCAATTAAGCAGGTGTTTCCAACAGAACTGCCTGAAATGGTTACAGTTAGTACAGAACTTGAATATTGCTGTAATGAGACAGACTGCCAAAGCGTATCACCTTGGAATCATCAGGATAATTTCAAGAAGGCCAAATTTCAAATGTTTGCAGCAGTTTGTATTTCTTGAGAAAATGGTCCTGATTGGTTGGCAAGTCAACTCTCGTATTAACATGAAGATTAAGGAAGCTGTTTCACAACACTGTTATGAAGTAGCGATGCGAATGGGATCTGACTTTTATTAGCTGGGGCAGCATTTATTGCTCATGTCAAATTGTACTTGAGAAGATGGTGGTGAATTGCTTTCTTGACTCACCACAAAATGTTGTAGGTGCCCCCACAGTACTTTGGTCAGTGTTAACTCTCAGGATGTTAATTCAATAATGATTATGCGATGAATGTTAAGGAATAATATTTGAATTCTCTTTTGTTGTAAATGGTCATTATGTAGCTGGTCTGTGGCGAAGATGCTACTTGTCACTTGTTGAATATTGTTCAGGTCTTTCTGCATTTGGATATAATTTGCTTCAGTACCTGAGGAGTTGCAAATGGTGCTGAACATTGACCAATTGTCATCAAAAATCCACATCTCGGACCTTATGATGGCGGGTTGGTCATTGATTGAGCAGCTGCAGATGGTTGAGCTACTCTCAGGAACTTCTGCAGTTATGTCCTAAGACCGAGATGGTTGACTTCCAGCAACTACATCTTTTGGTGAGGTCACCTCTAATCAGTTGAGAGTTTTCTCATAATTCTCATTGACTGTATTTTTGCTTAGGGCTCTTTGATCCCACATTCAGTCAAATGTCAAAGGTATTCATACTCACTTCCCCTCTTGAGTTCAGCTCATTTATCAATTTTTCTACCAAGGCTTGAATAAGTCAGAAGCTGAGGAGACCTGATGGAATCCAGATTGAGCATTAATGAGCAGATTATTGTTGAGTAAGTGCCATTCAATACGACTGTCAATGACACCATGTGTCACTTTGTGTAGATTGTTGGACAGTAATTGACTTGATTGGATTTATCCTACTTCTTGTGGATAGTATGTACCTAAGCAGTGTCCTACATTGCTGGGTAGATGCCAGTGTTGTTACTGGAACAGGTTGGCTAGGGCATGCATATTCTGGAGCATGTCTTCAGTATTATGTACAATCCAAAGGTGTCCTTTGGGCGGCTCGGTGGTTCAGTGGTTAGCACTGTTGCCTCACAGCGCCAGGGACTCGAGTTTGATTCCACCCTTGGGCCACTGTCTGTGTGGAGTTTGCACATTCTCCCTGTGTCTGTGTGGGTTTCCTCCGGGTGCTCTGGTTTCCTCCCACAGTCCAAAGATGTGCAGGTTAGGGTGGATTGGCCATGCTAAATTGCCCCATAGTGTCCAGGGATGCGTAGGTTAGGTGGGTTATAGGGAGATGGGTCTGGGTGGGATGCTCCAAGGGTTGGTGTGGACTTGTTGGGCTGAAGGGCCTGTTTCAACACACTGTAGGGATTCTAAGAAATAATAAAAAGTATTATTGTCAGAATGCTGTCAGGGCGCACAGCCTTTGCTGTATCTAATGCATTCAAATTCACAAAACAAATTAGCTGAAGGTTGGCATCACTGACATCAGGAGGAGGTCAAGATGGGTGCACCTCTGTATTTTGGGACTCAAGTAGTGGTGGTGCTGCTGAGCCACTCTTGTGATGGACACTGATGTCCTTCACCCAAAGTATTCTGTGCCCTTGCCATCTTTAGCTTGTCCCTGAAGTGGTGTTCAGCGTGGAGGAGAAATGATTCCTCAGATGAGGGGTGTAATGAGCACAAGGTTTTCTTGCTTATTTTTGACCTGTTACCATGAGACTTCATGGTTTCTGAAGTCACTGTTAAGGTCTCTCAGGGCAACTCACCTCTGACTCTATGGCTCTGGACAGAACATACCCGAGAATGGTGATGGAGGTGTCTCTTTTTATAAATTCCATGGGATCTTACTTTACAGACCTTGTTAGGTTGTTGGCTTATCTGTGGGACAATTTGTCAACTTTGACACAAGCTTCTCAGTAAAGAGGACTTTGCAGCGTTGATAGGGCTGTGTGTGCCATCATCATTTCCGGTGGGCTTTGTTGATGTTGGGCGATCTGTGTGGTTTCATCCTTTTCTTTTAGATTTTGAAGTGGTTGTTACAGCTGAGCACCTTGCTAGGTTATGTCAGAGGGCATTGTTTTACATTACTGTGGATCTGGAGGCACATTTAGGTCAAACCAGGTGAGGATTTTCCTTCCTTAAGCTAATGAATCATTGGGTTTTTAACAGCGATTGGTAATCAATTCATGCTTGCCATTAGAGCAGTTTTTAACCCTGGATTTAATAAATGAATTTGAATTTCATGATCTGCTGTGGTGGAATGAGAACCCATGTCCCCAGTGCAGGCTAATTAGTCCAGTGACAATACCACTGTGCTACTCGTCTTACACTTGCTGTAAGTGAGATACATTCGTACACAGGGACCAGTTCTTTGTAAGTAAAATAATATGTTCCAAGTCTTGTGTCTTTTTGAATGGCAGGCAGCATGAAGAGCCTTTCATTACTGATTGGTCAAAGCATAGTTAGGGAGAAAGCAATCTTAGTTGTTCGCGAGCACAAAATTTGACATCGTTGTGTTTGTCCTGATAAGTGCAAGATGAAAGACGTTGGCAACAAGTTTCCCTTTTTAACAGTATTTCAAAATGCCTAATAAAATTATGATGTGGAGGTGCCGTTCCTGGATTGGGGTGGACAAAGTCAGAAGTCACACAACACCGGGTAATAGTCCAACAGGTTTATTTGAAATCACAAGCTTTTGGAGCATTGCTGCTGACAAAGCATTGCTGCTCTGAAAGCTTGTGATTTCAAATAAACCTGTTGGACTATAGCCTGGTGTAGTGTGAATTCTGACTTTGTCCGATAAAATTAAGTGCTGCAAGAACTATTTGGCAATGTGTTAAAAACAATATTGTTGCGTACAATTTTTGCTGTTGTTGCTGTTGCACAGGTATAGGTTAACCTATTGACAATGTATTGTAAACTTGTCTTTACAACTTGTTACAGTGCTATAATATCTATTTGCTAGTTTTTGGATCAATTTTGAATTATTCAGGACATTGTAACTCATCTTGGTTAAGATATGAAGTTTGAAACTATTTAATTGAAACACCAGAGCCGGCAGTGAGCATCATCAGACTAATTTTAGTAATATAAAACAAAGAACTGGGGTTGCTTGAGATCTGAAACAAAACCAGAAATTGCTGGGGAATCTCAGCAGGTCTGGAACCATCTGTGGGAAGAAAAGAGAGTTAATTTTTTGACGTGAGTGAGTCTTCATTAGAACTCATAGCAGCTTGGAAACGGTAGTATTTATGCTAAAGATGAGGTTACAGGGTGAGGGGGTTGGGGCGGATGTGGAGGGGAAGAAATGAACAGACAGGTGGAGACAGAGCCCAGGGAGAGAGAGAGATAGGGGGATAGAGACAGAGAAAGAGAGATATGTAGGCAGATGAGGGGATTCTTGATAACAAGCCACGACAGAAGAGAAGCTGAATGAGTGATAGTAAGAGCCGAGAGTAAGAGAGAATGGGTAGGCTATGTTGAAAGCAATTTATGTAATGTGAAATAGGCCCAAGAGTGAGAATGAGTTGGCTGTGCTGAAAGCAACCCATGTTATGACAGGATCAAGGTGTGGAAGTGGGTAAAAAACATGGAAGGACAGAATCAGGCTCTAAAGTTATTGAATTTGATGTTGAGTCGTAGAGGCTGCAGGGCCCCCAAGTGGAAAATGAGATGTTGTTCTTCAAGGATTTCTGAAGAAGGGTCTAGGCCCGAAACATCAGCCTTCCTGCTCCTCTGATGCTGCTTGGCCTACTGTGTTCATCCAGCTCTACACCTTGTTATCTCTGTTGTTCTTCAAGGTTGCACTGAAGGTCACTGGGGCACTGCAGCAGGCTGTCAATGATGGTAGCAGGGAATCCCTGGTTGAGTTAATCAAGATCAATAACTTTAGAGCCTGAATCCATACTTCTATGTATTTTACCCACCCCCATATCCTGCTCTTGTCTTGACATGAGTTGTTTTCAGCACAGCTTGCCCATTCTCTTCTCCTCTTTGCTTTCATTATCACTTATTCAGCTACTCTTCTGTCCTGACGTACAATAAATAATCCCCTCGTCTGCCTACCCCTTTCATGTCACTCTCTCTCTCTGTGAGCTCAGTCTCCACCTATCCACTCAAGTCTTCACCCATTCCCCCATCCTTGTCTTCAGCATAAAATCATCTTTTCTAACTGCTAGCAGTTCTGATGAAGAGTCACCAGGCTCAAAATGTTAACTGTGTTTTCTCCCCACAGATGCTGCCGGACCTACTGAGGTTCACCAGCAATTTCTGCACATGTTTCAATAAGTGGCCTTTCCT